GGACCACCGACATGGGTGTCCCGTCTCTAAGGGCAGAGTTTCTCCTGCCCAAGGGCTCTAAAATGGAATGGAAATTCATTAAGCCACAAAATGTAAGTATTATATCCTTTTAAAAAAGTAATAATTCAAGGTAAAAAAACGATTTTTCTTTGAAATTGAAAAAGAAAATTTAAAGTCAAACATGTTTTTAAAGTATTTATTTATACCTTCATTCATTTCTTTAGTGAATTTGATTTATCAGTTATTGTATATATTTATAAACATTTTATTTTTCATTTTTGACATTAACATATCATCAAATTATTTATTTATTTATTCATTCATCATTCATTCAGCCTTACCACCCTGGGTCTGGCTGGACATGGGAGCCTGAACCCTTTAGGAACAGGTGCCTCCAGGTGACCACCAAGGACAGCATGGAAGTGACCTGTACTTGGGGAGAACTGGACATGGAAATAAAAGGTGCTTGATCTTATTATTCTATTTGATATAACCAATGGAAATTTAAGTTGAATTAACCTTTCAATTCTGTCATGTATAACATATGGAAATAAAACGTTATTTGATCTCACCATCCTATAAATTATAACCTATGGAAAGCAATAACGAAATGGCCCTTTCATTATGCCAAATACATTTTGGACTATATTTTAATTTATATCATAATTTGTGAATGACAAATAAATGGAAATAAAAGGTGAATTAAACTTTTAATTTTGTCATGTATAATGTATGGTAAAAAGATTACTTGATCTCATAATCCTATGAAAAACACCCTGAGCTTCAGAGCTAACTTGACACTAACCTTTTCACTGTAGCCTATCTCCATCGTGTCAAGTAACCTCTGACCAGATTCGAGTGCCCCCGCCGCCCGCCAATCAAATTTAAAGCCCGCACTCAATGACTCATTGAACGATCTAGCCAATGAACGCGAACGAGTCAAAGCGCGCTTTGTTCAAATCCGGACCAATCAAAGATAAGGCTGAATATCAGGGACTTGCCGTAACCTGTGGGCAGCACGCAAAATACATCATCCCTCAGTAGATAATGATGCAGGGCATCATACTGCTCTGGTTTCAATTCCGATGTACTCCATGCTTTCTTTGTGTACTGTTATGCACTCGGAACCACTCGGAACTACTCGGATGTCTCCGCACTCGACAATAACTATGTTGTTAGTATGGAGCTTGCGGAATCAGCCGAGGATTGCCGATTGACGATCAACCAATCAGCGTTTTCACCAAACTTTGGTGAAAAATTTTGAAACATGGATTCGATTGGCTTATATAAACTAGGTCAAACTATTTTCGTCAGAGGTTACTTGACACGATGGAGATAGGCTACAGTGAAAAGGTTAGTGTCAAGTTAGCTCTGAAGCTCAGGGTGATGAAATATAACCTATGGAATGAAATGATGAAATGGTCCTTTAATTCTGTCAAATACATTTTAGACTATATTTTAATCTATATCATAATTTGTGAATGACAAATAAATGTGACATCTTATTCCAGAGTTGAACTACATGTACAAGCCTGAAGTCCACACCAGTGGTAAGTGAATTGTATTATATAATTGTATTGCTCTATTCAAGACAATAATTCAGCAGGTTTAGCAATCAACTTGGTGCATTTTTTAATCTACTAGCAAGGAATCATGTAATAAAATTATTTATTGACAACAACACACTGACTCTCAGGGTGCAAGTCTGGACTTTCAGGGCCTGTTCACAATGAATTTGAAGACCTAGCTTATATGCACGATCTCTATGGGAACTCTCGCTGAATATGATCAGATTAACAGACTAACACCCCTCCTTTTGTCTCCAACACACATTATCACCAGGTTTACTGTATTCTACTCAATGCCATGATGTATTTGATGTGTTAAGTTTAGACAAAACAAATACATGTATTGTGTTTCCTTAGATTTGAATTCAATTCTCATGTTTCAGCTGATACCAACATAGTAACAATTGCAAAGAATCCTAACACAAAAGAGATAGATAAGACTGGCATCTCAGTAAAATAATTATGACTTTAATACACACATGAAACATGCACCTGTGCACACACACACACACATACATTAGCACATACATGTACATGCACACTATGTTGCACAGTATGTCTGACCTTTGACAGTCTTAAGAAGATACTTTATCTTCAGAAAAATCAATGCTCTTGTGGTGTAATTATTGAACGCAATTTAAAATTAAAAGGACAGTATTGAATTAAATTGAATTTTTAAAATTTAATTTTTTTATTTGAACCACATTCCTTAAAATTCAATTCTGTTTTTTCAGGTGATGCCAAAGAAGAAAACAGGGTCAATTGTTAAGACCCTGAGTTTTGAGGAGCTAGGTAAGGCTGGAATCTCAGTATAATAATTTTAATATAATTTTAATTTTAATGTACTTATCAAGCGTGTGCACACACACATACACTAACAAACCCACATACACACACCTTCATTACACACTGCAAGCATATTGCAAATTCTGGTCTTAAGCATACTTAGAAGATAATTTATTTATTTTTGGTCAATTAAGTCTTTTATTGTGTCTTCAACAAATTGTAATATTGAATCCTATTTGAACATGCACAGATAAAGAATGTTAAGTTTTTATGTTTAATATCATTTTTTCTTCAGTCGATACCAAAGACACAAAGAGTGTGTCATATGCTGAAGGCATCAAAGAAAAAGGTAAGACAGTAAGGGCAATTTAAAAGGAATTCATTAACACACACAAGTGGAATTTAGGGTGGAGACTTCACGCACAAACACTGAGTTTAAATTCACTGTTCAGTGATCTAAATCTTTGAACCATGACAGAGGACATGAAGGAGAGAGGTTAGACAGCAGGGTCAATAGAAAAGGGATTTATTTATCACACTGATGGAATGTGATTGTGCATGTACACACACACACACAATGACAAAAAAGTATAGTACACCATGTACTTGTACATATGTTGCACAAGCAAAGCATTTGACAGACTTTAGAAGATACTTCATCTTCTGAAAAATTAATGCTTTTTCTGTGTAAAGATTAACCACACATAATGTTGTCTTTAAAATTCAATTCAATTCAATTCTGTTCTTTCAGATGATACAAAAGCCAAGAAAAATGTTACAATTGTTAAGGCCTTTAGTATTGAGGAGATAGGTAAGACAGGAATCTCAGTAAAATAATTTGACTTTTAATATACTTATCACACACACACACACACATACACACATATTTATACACACCACAATCATATTGCTCAAACAAAGCCTGGTCTTTAGCATACTTAAGAAGATAATTTCAGTTAAATTTTTGAATGTTCTTAACAAATTGTAATGCTGAGTTCTATTTGAAAATGCACAGATATAGAATGTTAAAATTTTATTTGATATCACTTTTTCTTCAGCCGATATCAAAGATACAAAGAGTGTGTCAGATGCTGAGGGCATCAAAGAAAAAGGTAAGACAGTAAGGACAATTTAACTGGAATTCATTTAACATACTTAAAAAATGTAAACACACACAGATGAACTTTAGGGTGGAGACTTTCACGCACAAACACTGAGTTAAAATTCACTGTCCAGTAATACATAAATCTTTCAATGTTTCTTTGACTATGTTCAGTAATGTATTGAATCTTTGTGGAACACACATGTATGGGATGTTTAATTTGTTTTCATGTCTTTCTGCAGTCAATATCAATGACACAACAACCCTGACAGAGGACATGAAAGTGAGAGGTAAGACAGCAGGATCAATAGAATAGGGAATCATTTATTACACTGATGGAATGTGATTGTGCATGAACACACCCGCACGCACACACTGCCTATTGGTGTGTAAACACATTATGGGCCTTATTCAAGTTTTACTTGTCCAATTTGTTTATTCTAAATAATTGTAAAAGATTTTCAGTACAGTTGCATGCATGAAATAATATGGTGCACTGACTACATATTGAAGGTTATATATTATTGCATATTAGTAAGTTAATATTGTGTCATATATTTCAGCTCCCAAGGACAGACGCCAATCTAGGTGGAGAAGATTTTTAAGTCTTTTCACGTCTTGCTTCAGACGAAGATCAAGAACATAAATGGTTATTATTATTATTATTGTTGTTGTTGTTATTGAATAAATCTAATCACTCCTGATATTTAAAAATTTGACAGCATTTAAAAAAAGAACAGATTCAATATACAGTCACAAGGAAGTTCTTTTGTTTGTTTCCTTGTTTTGATGGCATGATAACTAAGTGAACTTTCAGTTTTTAAAAGGTACACTATGTCAAACAGCTGGTAAAACCTGTACAGTAATTATATGATAGCAGCTGGGAGCTGCTGGTTGTAGAGTTATTGTCAACGTCTTTTTACAGCTAATACATTTTAACTGAATTATATTTTAATATTTTTATCTTCTTATTTTTCAGGGTCATCATTGCAGAACTACAATTGCTTCTGTAGCAGCCAGTAAAAAACTTCAAATGACATTCTCTTAATTGTACAATAAAATATTAATTTTGTGTAATCAAATGCATTTTGTTTTTACTTTCTTTTCTTAATTGAGGCTAAGATCTAATAAACGGATATATTAGATATATTAGGTATATTAGATCTTAGGTCTATGATAGATCATCTTCAAAAGAAGAATTGTACTTAGTCAAATGCATGATGTTATATGCTACAAAATCCCTTGTCTATCTTTACAGTTGAAAAGTGTAAAAGACATGGTAAAAATTCAAATTTGAAGTAAAATTGAGACAGTTGTGGATTTTTGTTCTACACACCAATATGTTTAAAAAAAATGAATGCAACTTTGAATTCATTCAGTTTTATTTTCTGACACTTAAGCATGTGAAATGCACCTCTATATTGGGTTTGAGTGTGTACTTAGTTAATTAGCATGGCCTAAGTGCCAATGACTCGTTGTCACTGCCAAGGTAAATATAAGTCATTTTAAGTATTGACTCCAACGAAGAACTAATATAATGACCTCAACGAGTAAACCAGTGGTGTACAATGTTGTGTTGACATTGTGTTAGTCAGCAGGATTAGCCATGAGTCAGCATTAATTCAGACATACATATAAACCAAGTTGTCTGAGTAGCAAGTCTAGAACTTCTGTTTCATTATTAAGCTGCAGGTTGTGTTGACATTGGGTTAGTCAGCAGGATTAGCCGTGAGTCAGCATTAATTCAGACATACATATAAACCAAGTTGTCTGAGTAGCAAGTCTACAACTTCTGTTTCATTATTAAGCTGCATTTGTTAAGCTAGCTCCAAGATGCCGACCTACAAGCTGTACTATTTTAATGCAAAAGGGAACGCAGAGATTACCCGTCTGGTGTTTGCTGCTGCTGGTGTGGAATATGAAGACATCAGATTTAAAGACCGTGATGATTGGCTTAATAACTACAAGCACTGTGAGTTTTTTTTCCTATTTGTAATCTTATATGTTTGATTCTTATGAAAAACATTTAGGTCATTCAATTGATTCTTTGATCTATCAGTTGTGAAATACTAGTCTTGACCCAGTGGCACCTGCTCTTATATTTCTTGGTACATGTAATGGAAGTACCGAGTGTATGGTTCAGCGTGCACAACAATCAGGGGACAAAGCATAATAACCCATTACCTCATTTTATGCTTAGGTCCATGTATCATATACCTATAAAACAACAACACAGGTGTGGGTTGGAAGCTTTTTATTATAGCTTCGAAACTACGCTACGTCACTACATCTACAGTAATAAAATAATGAACAAAATCTTAATAATCCAGTCCTAGCCATATTAAGTAAAACATGTCTGCTTGCATAAAGGCTTGCAACTGACCAAATTTAATCACTCTATGACCGGAAAAACGAGACTTAAGTGTCCTGGACGCAGTGACGTAACGTAGCTGTCCCCACCTGTGTGTGTTTTAAATAGGACTTAAAAGATTACATAAACCTTCTACCAAGGTCCCAGGAAACAATTTCTACTTGATATTCACTGTTATTTCTCTGGCTATATCTCTGCACTTTTCTGTACCGTGAGCAATATATTTGTGGGGAAAATGATGTCATCACTCTGCTGACCTTTGATAGAGAGGACATGCCATTGCTCCAAGGCTTGTCAGGCCCGTAGCCAGGGGGGGTTCGGGGGGTTCGAAAGAACCGCCCCTTTTGCTGGGAAAAGGTCCACTCTGGGTAAAATTTGATCTAGGTACATGAAGTTTTTATGGAAAAAGGTCCACTTCTTCAGAAAAAGAACCCCCCTTTTGAAATTGCTGGCTACGGGCCTGGCTTGTGATCATCTCTGTGATATACAGTGCCAGTACGCCAGCAGTGATGGCTAGACACTCCAAAACTATACATCCCTAGGCATCTTAATTAGGAGATAACTAGTTCAGCATTTTACATCTAACCTGTGAAACAGCATATGAATTTTAGATATAACCAGTAGTGGTAGCTAGCATCATTGGTATTGTTACGTTTCTGACTTTTATAGCCATTACCGTCTTTGCTATGGCCGTGCACATCATTGCATTGTCTTCAAACTTATGTCAGTTACATTTTTGCATGCCCATGTTATGTAGTTAATTATTATACAATATTACATCACCTTGACAAAAATTTGTTTTGCATTGCTACTACATAAGCCCTGAAAAGAAAACCAAGTTCTTTATTATTTACCAACTGACAAGAATGATTCTTAGGATTGACATATAGCTCTAATTGTCTAATTGGAAAGCCCACTTGATAAAAATTTTAAAAAAATTGTGCAATTTTTGCAAAATTTCAATTGTTCTCATTGTGGCATTTTAACGTGTGAATTTTAACTCTCAGGGGCCTGAAGCCTTATGCTAGTTACATGTTCTGCCTTGTTAGTGACAGACCCTAAGAATCAGATTCTATGCATGCCAGCATTTTTCTTTTTTAAATCTTCACATATCCATGCTTACCTGAAGAAGCAGATATTTCAAAATTACGAAGCTGCATGGACCTGACACCCAGATCAGGTTTTAGAGTCAAGAATTACCATTTGAGATAATTTCACTTATTTTACAGTAAGTCCCACCGGACAGTGCCCATTCCTGGAGGTGGACGGGAAGAAGATTGGTCAGAGTTTGGCTATTGCGCGTCTTGTGGCACGAGAACAAGGTAAGGAATGTGACAGATAATTAAACATTGTCTGCATTGTAGTTTTTGCTTAAACAAGTAAGAGATTACCTTTTAGAAAAAATTAAGACAGCAAAGCTGTCAAATGTACAGACAAAAAAAAAAAAAAANATCTTATATGTTTGATTCTCATGAAAAACATTTAGGTCATTCAATTGATTCTTTGATCTATCAGTTGTGAAATACTAGTCTTGACCCAGTAGCACCTGCTCTTACATTTCTTGGTATATGTAATGGAAGTACAGAGTGTTTGGTTCAGCGTGTCCAACAATCAGGGGACAAAGCATAATAACCTATTACCTCATTTTATGCTTAGGTTCATGTATCATATACGTTTAAAACAACAACACAGGTGTGGGTTGGAAGCTTTTTATTATAGCTTCGAAACTACGCTACATCTACGCTAATAAAATAATGAACAAAATCTCAATAATCCAGTCCAAGCCATATTAAGTAAAACATGTCTGCTCTACATAAAGGCTTGCAACTGACTGAATTAATGACCGGAAAAACGAGACTTAAGTGTCCTGGACGCAGTGACGTAACGTAGCTGTCCCCACCTGTGTGTGTTTTAAATAGGACTTAAAAGATAAGTCCTTACATAAACCTTCTACCAAGGTCCCAGGAAACAATTTCCACTTGATATTCACTGTTATTTCTCTGGCTATATCTCTGCACTTTTCTGTACCATGAGCAATATATTTTTGGGGAAAATGATGTCATATCACTCTGCTGACCTTTGATAGAGAGGACATGCCATTGCTCCAAGTCTTGTGATCATCTCTGTGATATACAGTGCCAGTACGCCAGCAGTGATGGCTAGACACTCCAAAACTATACATCCCAAGGCATCTTAATTAGGAGATAACTAGTTCAGCATTTTACATCTAACCTGTGAAACAGCATATGAATTTTAAATATAACCAGTAGTGGTAGCTAGCATCATTGGTATTGTTACGTTTCTGACTTTTATAGCCATTAATTACCGTCTTTGCTATGGCCGTGCACGTCATTGCATTGTCTTCAAACTTATGGCAGTTACATTTTTGCATGCCCATGTTATGTAGTTAATTATTATATAATATTGCATCACATTGACAAAAATTTGTTTTGCATTGCTACTACATAAGCCCTGAAAAGAAAACCAAGTTACTTATCATTTACCAACTGACAAGAATGATTTTTAGGATTGACATATAGCTCTAATTGTCTAATTGGAAAGCCCACTTGATAAAAATTAAAAAAAAAAAAAATTGTGCAATTTTTGCAAAATTTCAATTGTTCTCATTGTGGCATTTTAACGTGTGAATTTTAACTCTCATGGGCCTGAAGCCTTATGCCAGTTACATGTTCTGCCTTGTTAGTGACAGACCCTAAGATTCAGATTCTAGGCATGCCAGCATTTTTCATTTTTAAATCTTCACATATCCATGCTTACCTGAAGAAGCAGATATTTCAAAATTACGAAGCTGCATGGACCTGACACCCAGATCAGGTGTCAGAGTCAAAAATTACCATTTGAGATAATTTCACTTATTTTACAGTAAGCCCCACCGGACAGTGCCCATTCCTGGAGGTGGACGGGAAGAAGATTGGTCAGAGTTTGGCTATTGCGCGTCTTGTGGCACGAGAACAAGGTAAGGAATGTGACAGATAATTAAACATTGTCTGCATTGTAGTTTTTGCTTAAACAAGTAAGAGATTACCTTTTAGAAAAAATTAAGACAGCAAAGCTGTCAAATGTACAGACAAAAAAAAAAAAAAACCGGGTCATTTTGACAATTTTGATGCTATGATAAATGCTTATAATAGCACAGTCAATCAAAACTGAATTTTAATCATGCACAACAGGTAACGTGGTCAATAACAGGAGCAGATCCAGAGATATTTTCTGACAGTATTCCAAATTATCTTTGTTGATCCATTCTCCATTTTTGATGGTCTTCCAACAGAAAAAAATAGATACCTGTCATTGTAAACTTAAAAAATCTGACCATCTTCCAGAAGACCCAGAAGACGGTCTCAATCCACCCAAGAATATGGGAAAGAAAAATTTTTTTTTAAAAATGTACAACTGGAAAAGAAGCCAATTAGACTGCTATTCCAACTCAGGCTGCATTTTAGTCCTATGTTTCTTTCCTGTAAGTTTAAGAAGAGTAAGTGACATTTTTTCCTTAATGGTTATAATAAAAACAGTGCCCAAAATAGGGTTATCTTCAATTTTGATGCAATATTACATAATGCTTAACAGCATAATGACCATCAGTTTTTAATATTAAAATAAAATCATCATGGATATTCAGCAAATGTGACTAGCAAAGGTCTTCAAGTCCAAGGAAGTTCAAAATGTCCATATGTGAAAATTTAAATTCTAACAAAAAACTTTATAATTCCAGAAAAGTTAACCAATAAGACAGGTTTTAGAACTGAAGCTGTATTTTAGGCCTATGTTACTTTTCTGAAAGTTTGAGAAAATTGACATGGTTTTCCTTTAATGGTCACTATGGAGGCAGTGCCCAAAATAGGGTTTTCTTCAATTATGATACAATATTACATAATGCTTAACAGCATAATGATCATCAATTTTTTAATAATAAAAGTATTATGAATATTCAGAAAATGTGACAAGGAAAAGTCTTCAAGCCCATGGAAGCTCAGAGTCACACATTGAAAATCCAAAAATGTAAACAGGAGATAACTGTACTGAAAAGAGTTTCCATTTTCAACACCTTTTTAACATAAAACAGAATAATCAATTTACCGTCATTTTTATATGATCAAACTGAGAAAATGTCAAAAGAACACTTTCACATATCTAGTAAGTTCTATAATGAGACTTGATATGCCTAAGAATTAAATCTGAAAAAAAAAAACACTTATGTACAAAAAAAAAGTTTAACCTCATCAAAACTTATCTGATCAAGCTTATTTTCAAACTTGATCTGTATATTAGTCAGACTGATCACTCCTGTGAGTTGCAAGGCAATAGGTCAATTGGTTTTCCTTCCAATGTGTTATCAGTGTTGCATATATGCTAAAAAAACAGCATAACTTTAAAAAAAGCATGCATTTTATTAACAGTCAGTAGTTCTGTAAGTTTCAAGCCAAAGGTTAAAGAGGCACACTTACCGTGTTATGGGTGTTGCATATATGCTGAAAAAAGTGGAAAAATGGCATAACTTTTATGACAATGTCCTGATCATGCTGATTTTCAAATATGACCTGCATTTAATGCAATTCATTAGTTCTATAAGTTTCAAACCAAAGGTTAAAGAGTCTTCCACTCATTGAGTTAAAGTTGATAATGTATGATGGCGATGAAGGCGACGACAGACACAAGGCAGGTGATGGCTTTATGTACATACACATCTGTGTCTGTACATAAAAAGTGTTAAGTGTTGATCAAAGGCAGCAGCTGTGCTAGAAATTCCAGCCATCAGTCTCCATTCAATCTTAAGGTCATTTCATTGTTTTTCTTACAACTTTATTCTTTGTTTCTAGGTCTTTATGGCGAAAGTAACATGGACGGTGCCATGATAGACCAGGTCCTTTACACTTTAGACGATTTGACCAAGCCACTTATCGACTGGCATTTTGAGAAAGATGAAGCAAAGAAGGTAGCATTTTTAGTGACTGGTCTATTTGCCGTAATGGTTAATAATTGTGACAAGTGGTGTATTAAATGTATCAGGACAATACCCCCCTTCCACCGATAATCCCTCCCCCCTGACAATTCCCCTTCCTGTAATAAATATCAAACTGAGCATGAACAGCATGATACTGAAACAAAATAATGCCTGCCTTTAATCAAAATGTATCTCCAGGTAGAGGCAGATTAAACAAATCATCTCTCACTGATCCAGGAATTCCTTTCATGAACTGACACTACTAACTGTTTAAACCCCCCCTCTTCCCCTTGATCAAGTGAAATTAGTATAGAAAAATTGATAAAATGTTTTATTAAAAAATGACAAGTAATGTCAAATTTGCATCTATAGCATCTTAAAATTTAGTGACCTCTCAGGTCTGTTGAAGCATGTAATGAGCCTACTGAGTCTTATAATCAATAGCCAATCATTGTTTTTATTTCATTTTCTGTCTTCTTTCTTATATTCAGTAAAATATTCAAGAAAGTTGTGAATGTCTCAAGTACATAGCACAAAAACTGTGTATCTTGTTTCCTGGAAAAGGGATGGGATTGTCTTAAGGGGGATTGTCTTGGGGGGGGGGGGGGTTGACCATGGTGCCATAGTAGAATTTTGCAAGTGACCCGGGTTTTAAAGGACATTTTTGTTCCAAGTCAGTCGAATAACAAGCGATAGTTCTGTTGAATTCATTGGACCTCCATCTTTTTGCTAGGCAGAGAAAGAAAAGAAGCTAGCTGAGGAAACACTGCCTGAATCCATGCAACGCCTTGATAAACTTTTAAAAGGCAATGGCGGCAAAGGATACTTTGCAGGAAACAAGGTCAGACAAAAGACTTTTTTCCTGAAAGATTATATCGTGCTGCTCATATTATTAAAATGTACAGAATTTTTACTTTTATATTCAAATTCCAGATAGCTGTGAGGCACAAAAAATATTAAAATCTAAACCATTTTATAATTATTTTTCATTTGAATACTTGACTGTATTTTTTTTTTCACATTCAGCTCTCCATTGCGGACCTAGCAGTCTTCAATCAATGTTCAGGGCTGGTGGTGAAGTTCCCCAAGTGCATGGACAAATGCAAAGAATTGCCAGCATTCATTGACCGTATTAAAGCTCTACCAAAGATAGCTGATTGGTTAGCGAAGAGACCGCAGACAGATTTTTGAATGCCGTTTTAATGAACTGCATTGTCACTCATGACCTACCCGCTGCCTCACAAACTGTTCCATTAGGCTTTGGGCCTCAACCCATATTTTCGCAAATTATAACCAAAAAAGGGACGATTAACTGTTGATAGCGATTTTCTTTTTTACTATTTTCAAAAACTGGCAATGAATCACATATCATTAT